ATACCACAATAGGAAGGTGGGGATTGATTTTGGGGGTTATGGTACCACCAGTTAAGGAATTAGGGGCCAAAAAGGGGCCGAAAATAAGCATTTTTGTAACTTCCAGACATAACTTGTGTGTTAGCATATGGATCTCTTTGACATTGTACCACAAGATTCCATATCACAAAGGGTCAATGCTGGGATTGATTTTGGGGTTAATTGCCTCAAAATTTTAGGAATAAGGGGCCAAAAGGGGGCAAAAAACAAGCATTTTTCTAGTTTCATGACAATAACTTGTGTGTAAGTGTATGGATCTTTCTGAAATTTTACTACAAGGTTCCATTTCACAAAGGGAAAGCTGGAATTGAGTGTTGTGGTAATTGCCCAAAACGTTTAGTAATAAGGGGCCTAAAAAGGGGTTTAAAATAAGCATTTTTTAGTTTCTAGACAATAACTTGTGTTCAAGTGTATGGATCTCTCTAAAATTGTATTACAAGGTACCATACCACAAAGGCAAGGCTGTTATTGAGCTTGGTTTGGGGGGAAAGGGGGGTGGGGGTGATGAATCATAAGGGGGGCAGGGGTCAAAAAAGGGGTAATTTTTTTTTTCCTTTTTTTTTTGTTTAAAATTTACATTTTAAGTTAGTTATTTTTTATCACGAAGAGAAAGTAGGAATTGAGTTTTGGGGTTAATTGCTCAAACATTTATGAATAAGGGGCCAAATATTGGTCGAAAATAAGGATTTTTTTAGTTTGCAACAAAAACTTGTGTTCAAGTGTATGGATCTCTGTGAAATTGTATTGCAATGTACCATACCACAAATTGAAGGTTGTGATTGAGGTGGGGGATGATGAATCAAAAGGGGGTTGAAAAAATGTGTGGGGGGTAGGAATTTTTTTTTCCTTTTTTTTTCTTTAAAATTTTCCATTTAAAGATGGTTGTTTCAGATTTATATATGAAAGAAAATAATAATGATACGGTTATATATCATGAGGAATTGAAATTTAAAATTATGTATATTGGAAATTTAGGTTACATTGGAAAGTAATAATTGGCTTTGGAGGGGGGGGGGGGGGGGGGGTTATGGCTCTAATGTTTAAGGAATAAGGGGAAAAAAGGTTAAAAAACAAGGGTTTCCATTTTAATAGACAAATAATTGAGTAAAGAACATTATTTAAAAGCAGTGTAAGGTTGGTAATTCAAACTCATTTAAATATCTCATCTACACTGCTTTTAAATTATGTAAATTGGAAATTTGCCAATAACTTTATTGTTAATAAATGCATTGGAAATTTGCCAACAATTTTAGTGTAATAAACTTCATTGGAAATTTGCCAATATAAAATTTTGCTGATGAAGGTTTTTTGTTTACCTAAATTTAGCCTTGACTATGAAGTCATTTTCTATTTTTATAGCCTTATGATGAAGTTGAATTATTTAATACTTTTATGATGTGTTTAAATGGGGTTTTATCATGTTTATGGTTGCAAATTTATTGTTTTAGTATAATAAACTCCATTTAAAATTTGCCAATAAAAAAATTTTTTGTTTATTTTTAGCTATGATTATGATGTCATTTTCTATTTTACTTTTATGGTTGCAAAGAAATTTTTATTTTTAGATATTACTGTTAAATGATGCTGATTAAGGTTTTTGCTATGTTTAGCCATGACTATGATGTCATTTTCTATTTTAATATCTGTTATGATGTATTTAAATGGGCTTTTATGGTTACAAAGGAATTTTATTTTTAGATATTACTATAAAATGTTGCTGATGCTGATTAAGGATTTTGTTTATTTTTAGCCATGACTATGATGTCATTTTCTATTTTAATACCTTTATGATGTAATTTCCATTTTTAGATATTACTGTTAAATGATGCTGATTAAGGGTTTTTTGCTATGTTAAGCCATGACTATGATGTCATATTCTATTTTAATATCTTTATGATGTATTTAAATGGGCTTTTATGGTTACAAAGGAATTTTATTTTTAGATATTACTTTAAATGATGCTGATTAAGGATTTTTGTTTATTTTTAGCCATGACTATGATGTCACTTTCTATTTTAATACCTTTATGATGTACTTAAATGGGCTCCCATGTATTTAGATTTTTGATTATTTATACATGTTACCAAATTGGTCCACATTGAACAAAAACGGTCCAAATTTCAACTTTATTACATTACGTCAAACATTGAATTCTACATATTCTTTGATATATTGAAATTAACAAACAATTTAGTTTATGGATATTCCACCATAATAGGTAAATTAAATTTTTTCCAGTTCTTACACCACATTCATCCTGTGTCAGAAACCTATGCTGTGTCAAATATTTAATGACAATCCAAAGTCATAGCTGTATCAAGCTTGAATTTTGTGTCCATACTTGCCCCAACTGTTCAGGGTTCGACCTCTGCGGTTGTATCAAGCTGCGCCCCAGCGAAGCATTTTATTGTTTATAGATATAAGAAGATGTGGTATAAGTGCCAATGAGACAACTCTCCATCCAAGTCACAATTTGTAAAAGTAAACCATTATAGGTCAAAGTACAGGTATGCTTTTTATACAACTGCAAAAAAATTTTGGGGTCGTATAATGCTATCATGTCGTTGTCCGAAGACATTTGGTTTCCGGACAATAACTTTAGTTTATGTGTATGGATCTCTATGAAATTTAACCAAAAGGTTCAATACCACAAAAGGAAGGTTGGGATTGTTTTTGGGGTGATGGTCCCAACCGTTTAGGAATAAGGGGCCCAAAACAAGCATTTTTCTAGTTTCAGGACAATAACTTGTGTATAAGTATTGTGATTGCTCTGAAACTGTACCACAAGGTTCAATACCACAATTTTTTTTCCTCAAGATTTAAGAAATTGTCAATTTTGCAAAGAAAAATTGGGGGTCACAATTTATTTTGCTAATTCTTTGTATATAGTCTGAAAACAGATTTACTAAGTATTGCACAACAGCACAGTGTATTGCACAAAAGCAAGAAATCTTCAATTGAATATAAATTCAAATCATATAACCAATTTTAAGTTCTTTGACTATACATTTATTCTGTGTCAGAAACCTATAATGTGTCAAATATTTAATTACAATCCAAATTCAGACCTGTATCAAGCTTGAATATTGTGTCCATTTTTGCCCCAACTGTTCAGGGTTGGACCTCTGCGGTCGTATCCAGCTGCTCTAGGCGAAGCTGTTTATTCTATGATGAGGGCCTTGGGGAAGATTAGTTAGTTGTTGTTGTTCATGTTATGTGTACAATTCTTGCCAGATTTTTATGAAACTTATATCATAGGTTTATATCAACAATGTTCGGACAAGTTTGAAAATCAGTGCCGATCAATTATTTTAAAAAGAGTTATGCCCTTAGAAATATTTATTATATGGAAATTTGCATTGTAAGCGCTCTCACATGTACAATTTTTGCCAGATTTTTATCAAATTCATATCAAAGGTTAATATCAGCAATATCATGGACAATTTCGAAAATAATAGCCATTCAAATATTTTTAATGAGTTATGCCCCTTGGAAATATTATATATATGAGAAATTGCTCTCAATTCTTCAATTCTCTTAAGCATTGTGTTAAGATAATTTAAAAAAGTTTTAAAAACAAAATAAAATATTTTTTTTTAGTTATTGCCCTTGGACAGATGAAATATGTGCAACGCGGGGGACATTGGAACCCTGTTCTTTTATTTTGTGTGTAGCATCGGAACACTTGTCTTCGTGTCATTGTCACTTATAAATACATGTACATGTATATTGTTTTACGTATTTGAACAAATTTATGAATGCATGTTTATTTCAATTTTGAATAGGAATGATATCTTTAGTTTCGGATCTCTTTTTTTGCTTTGGACGGTGCTCCTATTTTACAAGATTTCTTCTATATAACTGCAAAAAAAATGCATCTTGGAATTTTTCAAGTTTATCATTAAAATTTAGAAAGGATATAATCTTTTCACCTACCACAAATTGGACATCTTGCTCTTTGGAATCCATACTTAAGAATTGTGAGTTGGTTTTATCGACCCCCTTGGCAAAGGTTAACATCATTTTGGTCAATAAATCTGGAAATTTAATCATGTTAATAGTTTCATGTTTAAATTTATTTCACAGATTGCTCGAAAATCAAACATTTTTTAGGTCAGTGCCTATCAGCATATATATTTTGCGGGTAGCATTAACTGTAGGTATTACAATAAAAAAATGATATTATTGTTACCTGCAGTTTTCGTATAAAATCGGGTCCCTGTCTGGAAATACATTTTGGCAATTAGTCTTGGAAGTAACAATAATTATTTTTTATTGTTACTTTTTGCAGGTAATCATGGTAATCGTATCCAGTGCCTACTTTATATGGAGAAATCTCCTTGTCATTTGTTTCTATCCATAGGAAGGTTGACTATATCCATATAATGATATATAACATGTATAATAGAAGCATAATTGTACCAGGTGAACTCAGCACTATCAGATACTGTGGATTCATTAACTAGTTCCCTTACAAAAAATTAAAAATTGGTGTAAAAATGCCACTATCAACACTATTCACCTTATTGCTATTTATTCCAATCCGGATAAGTTCTGAAATTACACAACTTTTTCATCCAGTTGAAGTTATCTGGGACCCTGTTTAAACAATGTATTATTTATAAAACTTTTCAAAGAGACATGTTTACTGTAAAAACTCTTTGGATGTATTAGATAAAATATGTGCTTTGATGGTCCTTTCAGGATGGTTTACATTTATGACTTTCAACACATCACATGATCACACTACACTTCCACACAATCTTATCAAACAAAAGTTTTCTTGTTTAATCAAATAGTCCTTAAAAAAATCTATAATAGCAGATTTATTTGCCTCAACCAGAGACAAATATGTGTATATATGTCTCTGCTGCAACTCATTAAAAGCCCACTTTTGTAATGAAAAACATGAAAAAGGTAAATATGCTGGAACTGTGATCACGCTGATATTCAGTTATAATTAAACAAAAGAAATATTATGCTACACAAAGACAACAACATCGTAGATTACTGCAAGGAAAATCTTTATTATGGTCTACATGTTTCGCCACTTACGGTGGCGTCTTCAGGACAATTTAAACATAGAAAACAAATACTGAAGTACATAAAATGCGGTGCATATGGGGTTACAAAGGTTAACAAGACGTAACGTCACAATAATTAATTTGACAACGTTAAAATGAAAGTGAAAGTAAAAGTTAATAATGATCGAATTGTCAGTGTCTTTTCCAAAATGGACAACACCTCACAGGACATTCCGTACCATTCCAAAAGGCTTCACTCGGAAAGAGGTACTACTTCCAATTGCGTCGGGAATGTTGTAAGATGTATGGTAGTCGCACATGTAGGGCATGGTGGAAGTTGTGGTGAATTGGTTACATTTTGCGGTTGTGGTACACTATCCATGTTGCAAGTTTATTTCAACAATAATTGTGCGGTTCTGCGGTTCAGTACGTTTTGCGGTGGTCTTCTTTTGATTTTGAGTGGTAGTAATTCATTTGTTGACTTTCTAGAATAATTCGGCAATCTCGGAAGGGGTCGATATTGTCAATGCGGTGTGGTTGTCAAATACAACGCGGGTTTGGCAAAGGTGGATCGTCTAGATGCAGGGGTTCACAAAAAAATAATAGGTTGCATCGAGTGAACCAACACCTTCTAACGGTACAGGCTGATAGAGAGTAATCAGGATGGATACCCGGAGGTATGCTGCGGTTGTCTTAAAACCTCAGGAAAATAATGCTACACAAAGACAACAACATCGTAGATTACTGCAAGGAAAATCTTTATTATGGTCTACATGTTTCGCCACTTACGGTGGCGTCTTCAGAAATGCGGTGCATATGGGGTTACAAAGGTTAACAAGACGTAACGTCACAATAATTAATTTGACAACGTTAAAATGAAAGTGAAAGTAAAAGTTAATAATGAATTGTCAGTGTCTTTTCCAAAATGGACCACACCTCACAGGACAAAGACATATTAATGGAACTCTTTATAAAAGAAGTTAACTAGAGGCTCATCAGAAGCTGGCTTCCTCCACCAATAAAAATGACTGCCACAATATAGCCAATATTTAGTGCTGAAAGTGGAGTTAATGGCCTTTAATCAAAGGCCTTTGGAATGATTTTTTGTGTACATGTATGTAATTTTGTTTTCCTTTATTCAAAGATGTTCAGTTTGTCAGAATACCATATGTTTATATTGCTTTAGCCTTGTGTAGGAGGTTCTGTAGTTTTAATAGATGAAACATATACATGATATTTATATATAGGAATCAGAAAATTGAAGATTTGATCAAATAAATTTTTTATTGTCTTTTTAGGTATTATCAGACTAGAATACAAAAGATAATTGTAATTTACTTGTGAGATGTAATACTGACTATTTATTATGACAGACACTGATTTTAGAGTTGCATTACTGGTAAGTGATTTCTAACTTAGTATTATTTGTTGTTGATCGTTTTCATTTCAGAGGCAATCTATAATTCTTTACTATTTTTTTAAGTGATATTTACCCCTTTTAGTGATTTAACTTCAGTAAAAGTTATAGTCCTTTGGGGCAGGTATTTTCTCGAAGCTTTTTTCTCTGAATATGTTTCAAGCCTCAACTTCACGGACACCTGGATCTGTTAATTTTTTGTATTTCCACAAAAATATTGTGTCTGTTTAGACATGTTAGAATGTGTCAAGGCATTTGGTTTATAGCTATTTGTTATATGAAACTTTGCATATGAAATCTGTTTGTCTGAGTGATGAATGTAATTTTAGATAATAAATTTATTTTATTTCATATGTATAATCTTTGTTTTTAATAATTATGAAAAGATAGCTATAATGAAAAATTGCCTCACTTTAATCTACAAATATTTAATGAATTATTTCCATTTAATGATACAAATATTTATGTATTTAATTTATGAAAAATTGGAAAAAAAATGTTTTTCTGATGCATGGAAATTTTTAAGGATTAAAGACTTATTTCTTGATCAATTTAAGGCAGGTGCTGCTGCTGGGACCTCAGTGGATGTGTCACTGTTTCCACTGGATACAATCAAGACACGTTTACAGAGTCATGCTGGTTTTTGGAAATCTGGCGGATTCCGTGGAATATACTCTGGTTTACTGTCTGTTACTATTGGTTCTGCTCCTACAGGTATATTTTATATCTTAGAATTGATTAATTAAATTTAAAGGGAATATTTTTTGTATATATACTGAAAAATTTCATGCTTGTCTTATGTTCATGTTGTCATCTTTCTCCGGTAGGCAATGGTTTCATTATAGCTAGCTAAACCTCTCACTTGTATGACAGTCATATAAAATTCCATTATATTAACAACAATGTTTGAACAAAACAAACAGACATAATAGGTAATAAACTGCTTTGCCAAGCGCAGCTGGATACAACCCTGAACAGTTGGGGCAAAAATGAACACAATATTCAAGCTTGATACAGGTCTGAATTAGCAATTGTGACCCCAATTTTCTTTTGAAAATTGACAATTTCTTACATCTTGAAGAAAAAAATTGTCCCCCCCCCCCCCCAATTTTTTTTTAACACCCCCCCCCTTTTTCCAAAAAAAAATAACATTTGAAGAACTTTTTTTTTTGTAAAATGTGGTACATCTTAAGAGACATCAATACACTTAAACACAAGTTGATGTCTGAAAACTAGAAAACTGCTTGTTTAGACCCTTTTTGGCCCCTTATTCCTGAACGGTTTGGACATTTACCCCCCAAAATGAATCCCAACCTTCGACTTGTGGTATTGAACCTTGTGGTACACTTTCAGAGCAATCAATATACTTATACACAAGTTATTGTCCTGAAACTAGAAAAATGCTTGTTTTGGGCCCCTTTTTGGCCCCTAATTCCTAAACAGTTGGGACCATCACCCCCAAAAACAATCCCAACCTTTCTTTAGTGGTATTGGACCTTTTGGTAAAATTTCATAGAGATCCATTCACTTAAACTTAAGTTATTGTCCGGAAACCAAATGTCTTCGGACGACGACGACATGATAGCAGTATATGACCCCAAAATTTTTTTGCGGTCGTATAAAAATGTCAAAAATAGGGGTACAGCAGTCATTATTGTGTTATACAAAAAGTTTTGGTCGCAAATGGGGATTTAGGCTCAACAAGTCCTAAAATGAGGCCAAAGAGAAATTTAGATTTAATGCTCACAATTATTTTGATTCTCTTAATAGGATTTTTTGTATTTCTAAATGAAAATTTCCTTTATCCGAAATGTTAACAACTAATTTGGCTTTTGCAGCATTCATTGTGTTTAATAGTTCTAATGTCAGTAATGACTCATCACTTGAAATGCAAAGTCAGTAGATTTACATTATCTAAATCCCTTTGACATCAAATACATGGCTGATTTAGATCAAATGTATGTTATTATAAAATCATGTTTAGAATATAATTACAGTTGTCCCTGCCAACCAACCAACATACCTTTCATTGAACAAAAAACATAAATATTCAACTGAATTGGATTCCAAACATTTTGGAAATAAGAGGCAAACACATGTCAAAGAATGTCAAACATTGGTATTTTTTACATGTTTGTCTCTCAGCAGTATTATTAGGTGGAAAATTACAATGAATACTTCCTGTTTGAAACCCTACGTCAATTTAAACCAAACCAAATTTGGCCAAAATAAGCCCTACATCCATCAAAATTGCCAAGTGATTCAGGCTACTTCATTACTTTCATGATCTAATTGTGTAAATTTCTAGTACTTTTAAAAGACCAAATATATATGTGTTTTTGGATGGAAGATAACCATTCTTTTCATTGGGCATAGATGTCAGATGAACTATTCACGCAACTATTCACAAATGGAAATACATGTCATAGTTTTGAGTTATTTCTAATTAAAGAATGTAAACTAAATTGTTATAAAATTTTCTGTAAAAGCTTACCAAATTGCAGTACTAAAGTGTTATTACTTGTGGATTCAAAACATAAAGGAGGATCTAGTATGTCTTTATATTTAACTTAAACTACAAACATTAGGGAATTATGTGCATTTCTTATGAATCAGTCTGAATTCATGACTGACATACTGCAGGTTTGTAAGATTTTTATTTTTTCGGTCGTATATTGGTATGAAGTTGGCGTCGTCGTCGTCCTAAGACACATTGGTTTTCGCACTCTAACTTAAGTTTCAGTGAATGGATCTCTATGAAATTTTACCATACGGTTAAATACCACAAAAGGAAGGTTGGGATTGATTTTGGGGGTTATGGTACCAACAGTTAATGAATTAGGGGCCAAAAATAAGCATTTTCTAGTTTCCAGACAATAACTTGTGGAACGGTGTATGGATCTCTCTGAAATTAGACCACAAGTTTCCATACCACAAAGGGATGGTTAGGATTTGCTTTGGGGGGTTATACAAGTGTATTACTCATTATATGACCGCAAAAAATTTTTGCGATCGTATATTGGTATGACGTTGGCGTCGTCGTCATCGTCGTCGTCCGGCGTCGACCGAAGACACATTGGTTTTCGCACTCTAACTTTAGTTTAAGTGAATGGATTTCTATGAAATTTTACCATAAGGTTTAATACCACAAAAGGAAGGTTGGGATTGATTTTGGGGGTTATGGTACCAACAGTTAAGGAATAGGGGGACAAAAAGGGTCCAAAAATAAGCATATTTGTAACTTCCAGACATAACTTGTGTGTTAGTGTATGGATCTCTCTGACATTGTACCACAAGGTTCCATATCACACAGGGAATGCTGGGATTGATTTTGGGGGTAATTGCCTCAAAATATTAGGAATTAGGGGCCAAAAAAGGGGCAAAAAACAAGCATTTTTCTAGTTTCATGACAATAACTTGTGTGTAAGTGCATGGATCTTTCTGAAATTGTACTACAAGGTTCCATATCACAAAGGGAAAGCTGGAATTGAGTTTGGGGGTAATTTCCCAAAACGTTTAGGAATAATTAAGGGGCCAAAAATAAGCATTTTTCTAGTTTCCAGACAATAACTTGTGTTCAAGTGTATGGATCTCCCTGAAATTGTACTTCAAGGTACCATACCACAAAGGGAAGGCTGGGATTGAGTTTGAGGGTAATTGCCTCAAAATTTTAGGAATTAGGGGCCATAAAGGGGAAAAAAAACAAGCATTTTTCTAGTTTCAGGACAATAACTTGTGTGTAATTGTATGGATCTTTATGAAATTGTACTACAAGGTTCCATATCACAAAGGGAAAGCTGGGTTTGAGTTTGGGGGTAAATGCCCTAAAGGTTTAGGAATTTGGGGCCAAAAAGGGGCCAAAAAACAAGCATTTTTCTAGTTTCCAGACAATAACTTGTGTTCAAGTGTATGGATCTCTCTGAAATTGTACTGCAAGGTACCATACCACAAAGGGAAGGCTGGGATTGAGTTTGGGGGTGATGAATCATAAGGGGGTTCAAAAAATTTGGGGGGGGTGGATTTTTTTTTCCTTTTTTTTCTTTAAAATTTTCCATTTTAAATTGGTTATTTCTGATTGATATATAAAAGCAAATAATAATGATATGGTTTGAATAGGTAAATTAAAAAATTTTAAGTTCTTAGACCACATTCATTCTGTTTCAGAAACCTATGCTGTGTCAAATATTTAATTACAATCCAAATTCAGTGCTGTATCAAGCTTGAATGTTGTGACCATACTTGCCCCAACTGTTCAGGGTTCGACCTCTGCGGTCGTATCAAGCTGCGCCCCAGCGGAGCATTTTATTTGTTTATCTCACCTAAACTGCTTTTAAATTATGTATATTGGAAATTTGCCAAAAACTTTATTATTAATAAATTCCATTGGAAATTTGCCAATAACTTTAGTTTAATGAACTTCATTGGAAATTTGCCAATATAAAATGTTGCTGATGAAGCTTTTTTGTTTATCTCACCTTAACTGCTTTTAAATTATGTATATAGGAAATTTGCCAAAAACTTTCTAATTAATAAATTCCATTGGAAATTTGCCAATAACTTTAGTTTAATAAACTTCATTGCATTTTTTCTAGTTTCCAGACAATAACTTGTGTGTAAGTGTATGGATCTCTCTAAAATTGTACTACAAGGTTCCATACCACAAAGGGAAGGCTGGGATTGAGAGTTTGGGGGTAATTACTCCAAGGGGGGGAGGGGGGGGGGTGCGAAAAGTTGGGGGGGGGGGATTTTTTTTCCCAATTTTTTTGGGGTTAATATTATTTTTCGTCAAAGTTTTTGTAATCTTCAATTGCACAGTATTGCGCAATAGCAAGAAATCTTCAATTGCACAGTATTGCGCAATTTCACAGTATTGTACAATAGCACAATATTGGGCAATAGCAAGAAATCTTCAATTGCACAGTATTGCGCAATAGCAAGAAATCTTTAATTGCACAGTATTGCGCAATAGCACAGTATTGCGCAACAACACAGTATTGCACAATAGCACAGTATTGCACAATAGCACAGTATTGCGCAATAGCAAGAAATCTTCAATTACACAGTATTGCGCAATAGCAAGAAATCTTCAATTGCACAGTATTGCGCAATAGCAAGAAATCTTCAATTACACAGTATTCCGCAATAGCAAGAAATCTTCAATTGCACAGTATTGCGCAATAGCAAGAAATCTTCAATTGCACAGTATTGTGCAATAGCAAGAAATCTTCAATTGAAAATAAATACAGATCTTTTAACCAATTTCAATGGGATTAATTTAAAGTCTTTAATTTTGGGGGGTTCTTACCTTGTATTACTTTTTTGGATATTGGGCCCCATTTTTAAATTGGTCTACATTGAGGTCAAAAGGGTTTAAAATTAAACTTTGTTAGATTTCATCAAAAACTGAATTATTGCGGCTGTATGATAAGCTGAATCTTATTGTGCATTTAGATTTTTTATTTTGGGCCCTGTTTTCAAATTAGTCCATATTAAGGTTTGAAGGGTCCAAAATTAAACTTTTGATTAATTTCAACTAAATTAAATTGTTGGTGTTTTTTTATATGCTGAATCTAACCATGTAGTTAGATTTTGGATATCAGACCATTCTAGGTAAAATCTAGTCCCATTTCAAATTTTTAAGCTCTTTGACCACATTTATTTTGTGTCAGAAACCTATATTATGTCAAAAATGTTATCACAATCCAAATTCAGAC